GCTTATTAATATGGGCTTAGATTATGGATCCCATATGAAGCTGTGAAAGTACTTACCAGCCTTTAATCAGCTTCCTCTAATACCTGTGGAAGACCCAAGCAAGCACTTTGATGTTTTCTATCACCTTTTTTCTTGTTAAAAATATCTGGCTCTTTAATGAATTTTTTTTTTTTTTTTTTTTGAAGAGGGGCTCATTTTCAAAGTAGCAGAAATAAGATGATTGGGAGCACGGGTCAGAGAAAATATATTTCTCTTGCAAATACAAATCGCTTTCTGACATCTGGTGAAATCTTGTCTGGAGCCCAGCATTTCAAGATTTGTCTCCAAGTGAAAACACCTTTGTTAATGGTTGGATGTTATGAGGACAGCCTCACCGTGTGCAGAGAAAACGACAGAGCCAAGGAGCTGAGGCTGGGGTGGGCCAGGGGGCGTGGCCCGCTGGCGCAGTAGGAGAACTCGCCACAAGATGGCGTTCATGGTTTAGTAGTTGATTTTAATTAGAGCGTTCAAAATTTACAATGTTGACACTATCAGAACACAAGCAGATACCTGCGTGGATTTTTGTATCTATAAATGTTATTTAACTTTCTACAGATGAATACCTTTCTGCACCTTCGAGACACTGAAACATTAAGCTGCCATATTTAGGGAGCGTATTACGCAAGCAGTGTACGCAGTCCTCCAATTTTCTTCATCTTGGCTCCACACTGTCTTTGGTAGGTACCAAAAGCCTAGCCAGAGAAAGCAAATCCATGGAAAATGGGTCTCCCATTCTAATTTTGAATGTAGAAGGGGAGAGGCGAACACAGGCAAGGTTTCTTGGCAATCAGAATATAAACTGAGGCAAGCCCACCCAGGAGCCATGGCCTTAGATTAGTGGGTGCTCTTTCTTGGAGGTGATAAGTGCTTAAACTTAGTTCTGAGCTCTGGTTCCTTACTCTGATTATTTGTAAATAAGACTGGGAGAACAAAAAGTTAGCTGGTGGGGCCCTACTCTTTGATTTTGTGTCTGGAATCATCACTGACTCAGATAGGGAAGTTACCTGTGCCTGCCAGCAGACATCTATCATGGGATTGGGTTGTCTTAGTCCATTTTCTGCTGTTAGAACACAATACCCGAGACTGAGTAATTTTAAAGAAAAGAAGTTTGTTTACCTCACAGTTCTAGAAGCTGGAAAGTTCAGGAGCATGGAGCCAGCATCTGGCAAGGGCGCTTCTTGTTGCACAACGACCTGGTGAAGGGAACCATGTAGTGAGAGGTCAAGAGTGTGTGTCTCAGCTCAGCTCTCCTTCTCCTTGTAAAGCCACCAGCCCCACCATGGGCGCCCCTCCCTGATGACCTTATCTAAATGACCTTATCTAATCCCAATCACCTCCCAAAGGCCCCACCTCCAGTCATATGTGAATTTGTGGATTAAGTTTCCAACACATAAAATTTGGGGAACACGTTAAAACCATAGCAGGGTTGATGACAAAAAATGAATCAGGACCTGACTGTAAATCTGAGTACAGTTGATCGGAATCCCCAATAAGAGATAAAACTGGATATAAATTGTGTTCTAGTGTGATAATTTATGATGAAAACCATGAAATCTTAGCTATGAATTTGATGAAATTTAGATATTTTCATATGTGGTATTTCTTGAACTGTTATAATTTTTCTTTTAGATAAAGTAAGTGAACTATATTAAGTGGAAGCTATTCTTATAGCTTGAATGTTCTGTATGTAGAAAAATGATTTTTAAGAAATTTTATGTAGGCCAGGTGCAGTGGTTCATGCCTATAATCCTAGCACTCCGGGAGGCTGAGGCGGGTGGATTGTTTGAGTTCAGGAGTTCAAAACCAGCTTGAGCAAGAGCAAGACCCTGTCTCTACTAAAAATAGAAACGAATTACCTGGACAACTAAAAATATATAGAAAAATTAGCTGGGTATGGTGGCACATGCCTGTAGTCCCAGCTACTCAGGAGGCTGAAGCAGGAGGATGGCTTGAACACAAGAGTTTGAGGTTCCTGTGAGCTAAGCTCATGCCATAGCACTCTAGTTCGGGCAACAGAGTGAGACTCTGTCTCAAAAATAATAAAAAATAAAAAAATAAAGAAATCTTATGTAAGTTGGAGAAAAATAAGCCAATGAATATTGTTTCAAATGTTGTTGATAGTTAATAATTGATATTAATAATTTGCATCAGGTTTGCTCATAACTCCAACCTCTGAAACAGATTGGTGTTAGGTAAGTGTATCTAATTGATAAGTATATGAAAATGTAATCTATATGGCAACTTGAAGCTGTGCAAATTGTTATTAACAATTATTCTAAATTTGTAAAGTTCCTCAAGATATCAAGAAATGCATTGATCTTCACTCTTTTCCACTTATTACTTGGAAAAGCCTACAACTAATATACCTATAAGATGTTTAAAAGATATTTTCTCTATATAAATTTCAATATTATTAATTTTCAAATTTTAATTAGCAAATTAAATCTCTTATCCTTATTAATTCTATTCATAAAATCTATATACTGAATACAATGTACATCTCTCATGCTAAGCCCAACCCTTCTAAATCCTCCAAATTCCAAATCCTTTTAATTCCAAAACAGAACCACTGGTTGGTTGTCTGTTCAGCTGTCTCTTGACTGAGTCCAGGTTTATTGACATGTTTTTATCCTTATCAGTGCTAAATAACCCTAGCATTTGTGATTGCGAGGTGATTTGAGTATGGTTGTGCCGTAGTTTTGCTTAATGGCTTCTGCGGGGGTCTCGCGGATAATTAAACAATGTTTGTAGAATATAGTTAACAGACACACACGTAGTAACGGTTCTGCCCAAAGTCAGGGTAATATAAAGAATACACTCTTGTAATTAATGATATAGTATTGGAAATAAATTGAATGTACTTTCGTACCTAAGGTTGGCCCAAGCAAAATTCCGCCATAAACAGCCCACTCCCATCAAGGCCAGACATCGAGTGAAGAGCATTAGTCATGGCAAAAAAAGGCCTCAAAACTCTCGCTCTTACCCTAACTCTCAGAGTCTTTGGTTGTCATGACTTTTCATGTACCATATTTCTGGCAAGTGTCAGTGTTTTTCGTTCGAGATGTTGTAAACAGTGGCCCACTTCCTGTTCAGGTCCGTAGGGATGTCAGCAGTATTTTTACTAGATTGTTTTCTCTTAGTTACAATATTGAAAGAAAGTTTTTTGTTTGATTTTGATGTTTGAGATGAGAAGTTTGACTAAAATGTACGCCGTGGTACCTTCTCATATTTATACTGTTGGGGTTTGCTGGTGATTCTTGAACATGAATATACATCGGTTAACAACTAGAGAAATATTTTTACATGTTGTGGTCATATTTACATGTTGTGTCTGTCTCATTCGCTCTCCCTTTGGGAATCAATTGTACATATGTTAGAACTTTTGCATGTCCCACAGGTTTCTGAACTCTCTGCCAATTCTTTTTCAAATATTTTTTCTGTTCTCGCCAGACCAGATTATCTCTACTGAACAATTTTTTATCAATACATTCCTTTGTATTGGTCTTAAAACCCTTTCCAGTGAATATTTAATTTAGATGTATTTTTTTAGTACTAGAATTTCCATTTGCTTCTTTTCAAAATTTTGTATTTCTCTACTGAGATTTTCTATGATCCCTTCATTGTGAGCATTTCCCTTCCGTCATTAAAGCATAGTAATAATATTTCCTTAACTCTTTTGTCTACTAATTCCAACTGTGGGTCATTTGGTGATTGACTGCCTATTAATTTCTTTTTGTCTTGAAAATGCTTACATATTTTGGTTCCTTATAATATTAAGTAATTCTTTGTATGTGTATTCCTGGACATTGTGAATGTTATTATATATTGTGAAAGATCTAGATTCTGTTAGGGTCCACCAATGCATCTTGATATTTTTGTTTTAGGAGGCAATTAACTACCTTGAACTCGAACTGCAAACTTTATTGTTTGGGCAGGAGCCCTGATCACTGTTCGTTTATTTCTACTGGTCTAAAGTTGCACAATTCAAGAGTCAGCCAGAGACTTGGAAGGATTTCCTAAACCGAACTTGGCTCTCTGTCTGCTTCCTTTCTTTCTGAGACTCCCCCCTTACTTTTCAGAGCCACCTCAACCCTGTCCTCTTTATTCCAGCCGGAAATACAGAAGAACTTCTCTGTGTAGCCACTTAATGCTGACTTTACTCATAATAACAGTGGACAAACAGCAAGCTCACCTAGGTCTGTCTCATCGCCATCTTTCAAGTCTTCCCCTCCAGAATCAGCATGTTTTTGTCAACTCATCATAACCTCTGGGTTTTGTTGGTTTATGTATTTTAGAATGCATCATTGATACCAGTGGGAGATTTAGTCTAGTAAAAGCTGACCCATCCATGCTAAATGCAGACCTCCAGAGCTTACATTTTTGACCATGAGGCTAGCCAAACCAACACTGACTCATATATTAAATCCTTATGATGAGCTGGGTAACATGGATTGTGATTTGCCTGTATTACCTAAAGTAATCCACACAATTACATTGTGAGGTGGTTGTTCTTAGGTTTCTGCTTTTCCAGTGTAATAAACTGAAGCATGTGTAATTAAATGATTTGCCTGTGATAGCACAAGTGAAACAACAGTTTTTAAATTCAGATTTCTGACTACTGTACTGTACAGTTTAGTTTACCTGATTACTAGGCAAGTGTTTTGAATTCTAGTATTAGAAATTTTCCAAAAATATTTGAAGAACATATTTTTTATTATTGTGGGAAATTCAAAATTTCAGGAAAAAATCACCAATTTATAGGGTTTACTTCTAACTGAAGGAAGGCTGACTCTGTACATCCTTTTAAGACTCTACTCATATAAAAGAGTAAATTGAGCATAATAAATGCCTAGAAAAGCTATTCATCAATTATCACGAAACTATATAATCTCTGTCAAAGCAAATGTGCAATGATAAGATCCTAGATTTTGATATCTATCATTTATTAATTGTGTGTAGCACTGAAAAAGGCATATGATTCTCAATTTGTGGAGGTAGATACAAGGATTGAATAAAATAGCTAAAAAGGGCCACATGCCAAGCAAATAGATCTCAATAAATAACCTTTCCATAGTTCATCATGGATGAAATTTTCCACCAAACTTCTTCCCTCCTGCAATCTATATAGGAAAAGAAATCTTGAATTAATCAGTTGTCTTCTTCCTCAAAACCACTTCTGGAACAATTTCGAGCCACTCCTCTTGTTTCTGTCCCTGGAGACTAAGTGATAGTGAATTGGTCTCCCAGAAAGCAGCCAGGCAATGCTGTACAGGCAGGGTAAAGAGAGGGCAGAGAATAGGAAAATTAATGTTAAACTCTGTCATATTGTCATCATGGGAACTCACTGAGGATAAAAACATCTTTAGAAATAAAATAAAAAGCAAACTATAAATAAAATAAGGATAAGAGAAAGAGAAAAAAGAGGAAGCAAATGTGTAGGATGTTTACAAGTGAAATTATCCCTTGGAGAAAGAGCTGTATTTAAATTATATAATTCTAATAAAAAACATGTGATGTAATTGAAATGCAAAGTTTCTGCCTTCTATGTGTTGTTTTTCCCTTTTGGTACTTACATGTATGTTCATCTATAATTAATATATTTGAAAATTATAGATCATTACTGTTCACTTTATGTTCCTATTAATACAACTTCCTCCTCTTAGAATCTGCTAGAATATATTTTTAAAAATACTCCGCAATTGGAAAATATGTTATTATGTCTTAAAGAATATTAATGTAAAATATATTCTTTCTTTTTTAAAAATATTATTTTATTATGGTAAGAATACATGAGACCTTAATATACCACTCATTTAACAACTATTATTGAGTGTTTACTATGGCCTAACATTCTTGTGTATTATAGTGACATCTCAATCACAGAAGTGAAAATAATCTTCCTAATAAATGGAGTTGCACAACTAGAATAGCCATTTGGAAAAAGATAAAATTAGATCCAATCATCTAATATGCATATGCATAACTCGGAGAGAACGATAAATCTAAATTTAAAAGTTTAAATATAAAAATCCTACAAGGAACATGGGTGAAACTCTTTATAACCTATCTACAAGGAATGGCTTTCTAACTATTACTAAAAATCTAGCTGTAATAAAAGAAAGAATCAATTAATTAGTGTTCATATATATATATATATATATATATATAAAATGGCATGGCTAAAAAAGCAAATTCAAATCAAAAGACAAATGACAACCTGGGGAATACATTGCGACACATGTCAAAGACAAAAGGCTAATATCCCTAATTTATTTTTTTGAAAGCTTTTGTAAAATTTAAGAGGAAAAGTAGTAAACCTTTTATAGAAATTTTAAAATCTCAAATTTATGGAAGAATTGACAAAAATATGAACGTTTTAAATAATATCAAAAGTTCTTTAAATATATATAAAAAGATGTTCAATTCACTCATAAAAAGAGAAATATAAATTAAAATCATACTGAAGTACCACTTTCACCCATCTCCCATTAGATTCACACAACTTGAAAAGCTTGACAATACACTTTGTTGGTGAGACTGTGGAGAGAGAGAGGTGTTCTCTGTTGCTATAACGGAATACTCGAAACTGAGTAATTTATAAAGAAAAGACATTTATTTGACTCACTGTTTGGGTGGCTGGAAAATCCAGGATTGGGCCACTGCCTCTGTGGAGGGCCTTTCACCTGTGGGGAAAGTGTAATGGCGAGAGAAGAAGCGAGAGAGAGAAACCGAGGAAGTCAGAGGCTTTGCAAGAATCTGCTTTCTGGGGAATTAATCCATCCTCAGGAGAACTCACTTACCACATTTGGATGGCTTCAGTGGTCATTAATCAAGGTCCCTTCCCAACACCACCACATTGCTGATCAAATTCCAACATGAGTTTGGGTGGTGACAAACCATTTCTAATCCATAGCAGATAGCATGTTAATATCATATATATTATATAATATTTAAAAATAAATTTAAATCAATAAGAATGGGAAAAAAGAAAAAAAAACCTAAAATGAGAACAAATAGAGTGAATGTAACTCTATTTCAAAGGACCGTCACAAGCACACTGAAGGGGAAAGAGAAAGACAGAGACAGAACCACAGAGACACAGGGAGTAATTTATAAACACACCATTTAATTCTATTCACTCAATCTTAGACTGGGAGAGGAGGGAGTATGGCAGGGTTAATCAAAAAATATATTATTTGTATGTAGGTTATTGTAGAGGTATTGGTGTACTATACTAAAACTGTTTGAGTTGTATTACAAGACTGAACAAATAATAAAAGTGCTGTGGCTGGGAGCTGGGTTTGTTCACATAGAAAAAGGGGACATCTAAATATAGAATGGAGGAAAACAAAGAAAACCTTACTGGGTGATCGGAATTGGAAGTATTGCTGTGAATTCATGATTTCTAAAACATTTATGTGTGTGTGTTTGTTCTTGATTGTACGTGTGCGCTCGCGTGTGTGTGTGTGTGTGTGTGTACACAAATTTCCTGAGTCTAGCCTCTGAAAAGGCCCTAGTGCAAATGCACCCCAGTATCAATGAACAAACATAGCACCCAGACCTGGAAATCAGGGCTCCTCAGAGACATGGTTGATTCCAGGGCAGGGGCACGATAGGTTCAAGATGAGCCTGAAATATCTCTTCTGCCAAAAAGTAAGGGAGTTCTTAAACAAACAATGGCAGGCGATTGTCACAACAGCAGGGTTAAATGGCTTACCCCTGGTCAAATCTGCCACAACTGCACCATAAATCACATATAAATCATAAACCATTAAGAAGTGCCTGTGTTCATACTAATAACAGATAAATGAATGGGGGAAGAAAGGAGGGTCTGGGTTACAATAGAACGCTTTAGGTGACCAAAGACATAGAAGAAGGGTTGGATGAACAATAATTACCCTTTTGCGGCCATCAGGGCAAGAGCGTATTAGGGAAGGTTCATCAGTGGATACTACACCTGGGGAGAGGCTTGGATGAAGAGCAGGATATTTGCCTTATCTCAAAGTACCTCCTTTCAGTCTGCTATTAGGACCAAAGGAAAAAAATCAAACAGAAATGATACTATGGAGAGATCTGGCTATACTTCGACAGGGTGTAAAAATTTACACCCCCAATGAAAAAACGCATGGAAGTGACGGGCCTCCAGATGAGAGCCTCTGTTCAGGATGTCATGTTAGTTATTCAATATTTGCACCAAAAATAAATCATCTCAATCTGATCAGATAATTTTATTATCATGATCATGATAATTTAAAAAAAATCGGGCAAACTTAAAATGAGGAACATTCTATTAAAAAGGGGGGAGATTTATTTTTTAAAATACCAACATAATACAAAGACTATGGCAAAGGTCTGGATGAAAAGATGTGAAAGAGACATGACAACAAAGTGCAATTCTTGACCCCAATTGGACTCTGTTCTGAAGGAGAAAATGGTATAAAGGACATTCTTAAGTCAACTGAAATAAAAGGATAATGAATGGTAAATAAAATTAAAATTATTATATCAACAGAAACTTACGACTCTGACCCCTGCTCTTAAGTAATGCAAGCAGAAGGAGTCAGAGGGACAGGGCCACGATGTGTGACGCTCAAGTCATCCAGAGAAAATATTCAGAGGACAGGAGCAGGAGCAAATGACAAAGTAGATGGGATAAAATACTAACATTTGAACCTCAGTAAAAGGCATTCAAATGTTTTTGCATGGATTTTATTTTTGAATTTTTAAATACATTTTAAATTATGACCTATTTTTAATTGAAGATACATAATTTCAATCTGAACATAAATAATAAATATTGTGAAACCTTCCATTCGTCTCAAATTAATAAATAAAATACAAACCCAATTGCCTTCCATTTGAGTGCTTTAAAAATAATGTTACAAAACGGTTTCCAAAGTTGATCCACAGGAGCAAATAGTCAAGAATAATGAGAAATGTATTGGAAAATGTAAAGCAATGGAGATAGTCACGATATTGGATGGTAAAAGATCTCAAAGGCCTCATCTAAAGAGTGTGCAGCTACAAATTACACAGACAGTGGGCACAACAGGACATCTGGCCCACAAATAGACCAGCTGTGTAAAAACAATGCCTTCTAACCTTCAGAAGCACTACAAACCAATGCAGCATTGATGCATTCTTTACCCGTTATGTTTGGAAGATGGCTAAATAATTAGAAAAATTTCTAAGAAGTTCTTTACCTGTCCCATAAAATAGCATGATAAACCTTTTTTTTAATGTTCAAAAGTACATTATTGAACAATGAACAATCTTTTGTAAACTGTCTTTGGCAAAACATGATGACAAATATAATACTTGTCTATTGGTAGATGACTAGGGCTGCTTACCTAAAGAACCATCAGAAATATAGCACATGGGTACGTGTGAGAATAGATAAGGGACTGATTAGGATGATAATTAATTTCCATTAATTATCATGAAAAATAGTCATTAATCCTTACAGAACATAATTATTCTTATAGCTGGCTTATGTGACCCTAGTTAGATTTGTTAGAACATCATGATTTATCCCAGTAAACATGCATTAGCGTCAAATACAGAGTGAGGAAGTCACCTCACAATGGAGCAGGGTGCTCTCTATCGGACCATTTTAATTAAAACTGTGATAAACTACTTCTCCTTATCCTTTGGTAGATATAATGGAGCTACAATATGTTAGTTTTTAGATCTCTGCAGATTTTTAATATGGGTGGTTGAAAAAGTTTCTCTTAATAACGTTTAAAGCATGACAATGGAAAGACATGAATTAAAGGTATTGAGTCAAGTGTCTTAGATTGTTATCTCAGGGAAGATTGAAATCAACATTTTCAAAATACTAGGGAATCTAAACATATTTTGTTTTTCCACCTCTAGGATGAGAAACAGTGGGTAACTTTCTTAAAATAGCAGCATTTGTTGTGACTTACGCTTATTACTGGATAGATATAAGTAGTACACCTCATCATACTGCTAAACTAATTACAGGTTATATTCAATTTTAATTTGGCACTAATGACAGCTTTTTGTTTTATGGGTCAGAACTAAAATGTATAAAAGATTTTTCTTTCTGCTCTTAAAAGTGCTGAATATATACATGAAAAAGATATGAAATTAGTGAAACTTTTATATTTATCTTTTTCTTCACATTTTTTCTTCCTTTTTTTCCTTTGCTTTAATAATTATTGAGAGCTCAAAGTATTATAGCTGTAAAGAATACTGAGGAAACTCGGGGGTTGATTTCTTAGAATTAATCCTCCATTTATGCTTAAGGATCATGGGTTTATTATTAGAAAAGGATTTTTTGAACTGAGATTTTTAAATCATAATTTTGACGGTTTCCTTATTGGTGGGTTAATGGATTTGATGGATTGAGAATAATAGTGATTTTGTCTTGAAAATAAAACAGTTGATTTTTCAAGTTGAGGTTGAACTTGATTTTGGAGGAGGCTTTAGTGAGGGGAGCTCTGATCTAAAAGGAGACATATGCATTAGCCCTGTGTATCTGCCCCGGGCCTTTTTTTCCATTACTAAAATGAAATAAGAACACAAGCACACAGCTTTTTAGTTTGGATAGACTTGTTCTCTTACCTAAATTAGTTCTTTCTGTTTTCTTTGGTTTCATATTTTAGATTAGCTCAAAGGGCCGCTGGAAACTCCTGTCAGCCTTGTGTTAATGTGTTCTTCTCAAGCAGTGGAACAAGCTTGGCTCATGCACCTAACAGCGGGAAACCTCATATTAGGGACCGTGGGAACTAGCAAAGCAAACTGTAAATTGCAACGGATTTTACAGTTCTGGCCTCACAGAATGGGGGCGCTTTCCCATGTGGGGCTTCAAGTTTTGGCTTGCCCTGATCTGGACCCACCCTGATGTGGGTCTTATGCTCTGTAGACAGTCAGGATTTAGTAATTTGAGCCACTTTCTTATTTCTAATGAGAAGAATTTAGGTAATTGGCTTAAACACCCTATGCCAATTATTCCTGTGTGGATAAATGGGCTGAGAAGATGGGAGTATTATCATTCCCTTCTTTTCTACTCATATTATTAAGGTATTAAAATTAGATGTTACTTTTTTAATAAAAACAAGTAGTGACTTCCGATTAATGAAAACCATAGTCATTACGGATGAGAATATTTACAACATATGTCTGTATCATTCATTGGATTAATTAGTAACAGAAACTAACCTTATCATTACCTGTATCTCAACATGTCCAGTGCTCAACCTGTTATCTCAATTTGCCCCAAGTTAACTCTCTTTTAATGTTAAAAAGGTCAACTCTACACATCTCTGTTTTCCATTGAAATAGAAAGTTCTATATTGTCTTCCTTAGCAATATAATCTTCTAGGTAAAATATTTAGTAATATAGCAATATCCAACAAATATGGAAAAGTCTATATTAATAAAAAAGGAAAGTTGGAACTTTGTAATATGAAATATCACTTGGTTAATTTGTTGAGGTATTTATTACTTTTACTATACTTTTATTATATTTTACTTAGGAAGTGAAACCCCTTATAATCCAGAACAATATCTAAAAATTTAACAACCAACTAGTGCAACAAGGGCACCCAGAGGTCAGACTGGATTGATATAGCCTCATACCTCTGGTGTGGTCTGCCCTGCATGTTAGCTCTGTACCATCCCAACTCATGAATTACATAATGTATCATACTTCGAA